ACCGAAAGTTATTATCCGGCACTTGCTCCATTATTCCCGTCCTCGGCTTCGCCTCGTACGTGAAAATAGCTTTCACATACTCGGCTTCGCCTCGCACGTGAAATTGGGGTTCCCTGTGTTCGGCTTCGCCTCACACAAAAACCTTGGCGCGCGACGGAAAATGCCACTTTCGGTCCTAGTAATGAAATATACTATTTTTGTTCTGCATATTTTTCTGGGTATGCGGGTGAAATCTGAAGACAAACTGGCCGTTTTTTTTCGTTAAAAAATATTGAAAAATAAAAGCTGTTACAAATCGCTATAGAAACATATTAGCCTACTTTAAAGCCCGTTTTCCGAGAGTTCTGTTTTTCCGTGTTTCTTTTTATTTATTTATTACTTAGTACAGCACATATACAATGAATTTACAATACCAAACTGCATAAGCCTTAAAAAGAGGCTTGTCCGCAGCGTTTCTTTTAATACTAATTGTCTTTTCCATCTTCCATCTTATTACAATAACTTTTCAAGTATTATAGATATGCCATTAAACTTTTAACCACTTGTTCCTTGTTTTATTACTGAGATATTTGGTCATAAAAAATTGTATAGCTAATAAAATTAAATAATTATGATTTTTTTTTATTGTAAAATAAAAAAATTTATTTCAAAAAATATAATTGCTTATAACTTTTTTTCTGAAATGGTATTTTAATTATAATGACAAAAAAGTTTCTAGGTATTAAAAGGATCAAAATAAATCATTAATCATTACAATTGATAAAAAAACAAAAAAGTTATTCAAAGTTTAGCAATGTACCTAAAAACGCTCAAATAAATCTCTAAAAAAATTATTTTAAAAAAACTGAAAGGTGAAAATTAAATTTAAAACCTCAAAAGCTCATTAAATAAAGGTCCTAAATATAAAACCTGCATAAAAATGTCTAGCTTACAATATAAAAAATTTGCATTTAAAGGTGGCTGATCCCCTTAAGTGAGTAAAACAAACTTTATCAAACTAGTCTTGGTAAGCACGAGCATGTCAACCTGTAATTTTATCCTAGAACTTGAGTGTCTTTGAAAATAGCTGAACTTTGGCCAAGATATGTTAATTAACTACTAAAGGGTTACTAGGAACAATACCACCTCTAACAACGCTTGTACCGGTAGTTATTAACCTATATTGTCAAAGCCTACTAATTATCTTTACTCTGCAAACTCTACTTAACTATATTGGTAGTCAATGAGCTTACTCCTACATCACAACCACTAATAAACAAATCCTACACATTTTATACACATTAACAGTGAACACATTTTGTACACCTACGGATTATTTATAATTTCAAAAAATGTTTAACAATAGGACAATCATTCTCTTCTTTTGTAATTTGTAAAACAATTATTAATTGGTCTGTTCGTGTTCATGTGATATAAATATTTTTTTATTATTCACAATTAAAACCCCCTAACCGTAAATGCCCTCAATTTTTCGTAAAAGTTGAGTTAAAAATTGTTCTTTATTTAACTTCGCCATAATGGAAGAAGATTAAATATGTTTAAGATTTTAATTTTCACTTGAACAAAATTTATTCTGGAGAAAACTTTTTTGGAAAACGAAGGAAAACTATTGGAAGAGGTTTATCGAGTTGATGATTCAATTTTGTATATCCAGTTTGACAGTTGAACGTATGCCAGTTATGTTAATAAAAATAGTTCTTAATTTTAGGGCCGAGTTTATTGCAGAATTAATTGTAAAACTGACATAATCATGGCCAATATATAAATTTAAAATGCAGATGTAAGTATGTCGAAATCAAAGGAATAGTGTAGTTTGAATGTGTAGTATTTATGTACATCAACCTTTTCGATATAGCTAGTAACGTGTTGCTATTATATATCTAAGCTAGTAACTAGCTAACTGATAGAGCAATTGTTGCTCTATCATAATAATTGAGCGGAGCGAGCTCTCATACGTCTACTCTTATGCGTTTCGTCATACGCAAACTCCTCCTAAGCGGCTGAAGCAAAAATTTTGAAATTTTGCATGGCGAAATAAGGACCGCAACGGTGAGATTTTTTTAACATCTATATGGTACTAACAGATGTTCCCATGTATCCGCCCCACGGATTCTCTAAGTTTCAATGTCTACTTATGGAAGCAGTAGCCTATTTGACACATAAACAAAAGTAAAATCAATTATTTGTTGACTTAAGTCAATGAATGGGTTTGTATTTATTTATTTATTGCATGCATGGAAAACGCCATTTTACAAGACAGGTGAGTTGACATTGATAATTTAATAAGAAATAACTTAGTTATGTTGCGAGCAATAATTAAATTATAGTGTGAAATGCGACAAAAACACATTTTTGATGAATAAATATGCATGATTTACACGACGTAACAGCTAAACAGGTATGTTGCACGAAAAATAATAAATAGACGATTCAAACAACAAAAACAAATGTAAATAGACTAACAACGAAAACTACATAACAAACAATTTACAACAAGACAATATATAGACTCATGGTGGTTCCACCATGATATAGACCATTTACAACAAAAACAATATAAACAGAATATTAACAACAACAAAAAATAAATAGACTATTTACAACATAATAGAAAAGAGAAACAGATGAATGACACTATTAACAAGATAGACACTACATGAGCATTCTTCTGAGTACGGCACTCGTTTCAGGCTTAAAGGTGGAGACACTGCGGCCGAAGAAGTTGACGTCACCGCAGATGCTGTTCCCTGTGCGCGTCAGGCGAGGTACAGGACTGTGCTGAATGTAAGTGGTGGAGTAGAGATCTCTTTTAAACAATTGTTGATGTCTGGAATGGCGAGGGGTGTGGAAGTTGATCTTTCCCAGCAGCTCAGGACAGTCCAAAGAGCCATTTACTAGCTTGAAGAGGAATACTGCGTACATCAACTCTCTTCGAAGAAGCAACGGTGGGAGACCAAGAATTCATTCATTGCTTACGTGCATTACGTCAAGAAACATGTGATAGAATTGTAAGTGTTATATGGATAACTAGCTGTAACCCGCGGGCTTTGCCCCGTTTAACTTCTTAATTTTCAAGATGATCTCGTTTGCATGGCTCAATCACGTCCTGGTTGAAGTTCGTTCGCTACGCTCACTCACCTTTAGGTTGGAGCTCGTTCGCTACGCTCACTCACCTTTAGGTTGGAGCTCGTTCGCTGCGCTCACTTTCCTTCAGGTTAGCTCGTTCGCTACGCTCACTTGCCTTCAGGTTAGCTCGTTCGCTACGCTCACTCGCCTCCAGGTTGAAGTTCGTTCGCTACGCTCACTCACCTTTTGGTTGCAAATTAGCTGTTGTCATAAATGTAAAAGAAATAATAGTGCTGCACCCTGTTGGTAATCCTTGTAACTTTAATGCTATTGAACATCTTAGAACAGAACCAACTTGTTTAATTGAAACAGCTGTTAAGATTCATTAATTCCATTTCTCATAAGGTTAACATGGGAAACTCCAGAGCCACTGGGGCGGAGCCCGGAAGGATTTTTGGGATAAAAATATGCCTATATGTTAATCGGGAATATGAGCTATCATCATGCCGAATTTCAGCCCGATCCGACCAGTATTTTTTGCGTTCACTTGTCACAAACATACATCCATCCATACATCCATACATCTAAACTTTCACATTTATAATATTAGTAAGATAGAACAGAAACTGTATCAAGCATAAACATAAACTAAAGACATCATTAAATCGAACATTATACCATAGATAAAGATAACTTAAAACATATGTTTTATCTATGATTATACTTAATAACATTAACATATTATATGGTTCGGACGTTTTTTTTACCATTCTGTTTAGATAATAACATAAACATGTTTACTTTCTGGCCAGTGACGTCATTTGGTTGTTATCAAAGCAGTTTCTGTTCTACCTAATATTTTGTGTTGTTAATCCTCTTGTTATTTATTATTTTAGTGCGTGATTAATTCTTGGTTTTAGTTTGAATATAATTTATAATCATCACCTACAGGATAAGTTAATTATTACGTGTATTTGTACACATGGGTACGGGGTGGCGGAAACCTTCTTGCAGCCGTCCACCACGAATACTTGAAAAGAACCGGTATATGTATCATAAACATAAACAAATGACGTTTTTGGCCGGAAAATAAACATTATTTATTAACATTGCTTAAATGGAACTGCCAAAACATATGTAATGCTATTAGTATAGGATTCGGGCCAACGACGTCATTGGTTTATGTTTATGATCCATGGTTTTTTCTAGTATTCGTGCCGTCCACTGCCCCACCACTGAACCGTACGGTTGTCGCGCCGTGGCCACTGGCCAGTATTATTGATCGAGGACCATCGAGGGCTAGGTGCGGGACGGACGGGCAAGTATGACCCTACAGCTACATAAAATATACTTGTGTTGGTTTTGGTTAGTCTATGGTATGACACCGAGACATAGACTAATTAATTATTGTTTAATCTATACCGGAGACTTGCTGATATTCGGGAGGTATTCGGTATTGGGTTTTTGTGTATGTGTATGTACACCCGTAAACCTGCCACGACACACGCTGGTAACAAGATGCCACCCTGACAACTAGTCACCACATGTTTAGAGATGGCTGCTGTCGGTGAGGCATATTCTTTGGAGCGTCGGTATTTTGAGTCCCCAAAACCGTATGAGATCACTCCACTTTAACAAAACGTAAACGTCGGAGTGCAATAGTATACTATAATGTTTTGGTAAATAATCATAACAGATGTTTATAGTGGTAATCAATCCATCTAATCATGCTCATTTTACAGAAAACTAACAAAAGCCCCAAGCCCAAGAGGCGCAGACGATAGAAACGAAAAAAAAACAGAAAAAACTTCTGTCCTCACATTACTCTATGCTTCAGATCAGAAGTAGAATTGAAATTCTAAAATTAGGTATTCTATGGTCTTGTCTACCCTTACCATTACCAACCAGCCACAGCCATAGGTGTAGATTGTCATCAAAGTTTTAGTGCGATAGCCTATTTTAAACTATTTTATCTTGTAAAATGTAACAAAAACTCTACAAATGTAATCTTCAATCGTTGGTAACATTCTCCACCTCTGTTGGGGGTTTCTAGTATTCACCACTGACAACTTTTTATCCACAAAGTAGGAGTTAATCCAGGTTGGTTGTTAGCTTAGAAATGGCAGCTTTTTTAGTGTTACTGTGTCATCATTTTTTATTTGGGAGTTAACATGTAGGCTAGCTTGTCAATTAGGAAACCCACTTTGTTCTGAAATCTTTGTGTGCCCAGGTAACTTAAAACTATTTCATTTACTTTGTGTATTATCTTAAAATCATTCATCACATTATTTTTATGAAGCCTTTTTTTCTCTGCCTAGAGATTTTTAGTCCCAAGTGCCTATAAGCCTAGCCTTAAAACCAATTTTGGCAATGGTAACTTAATGTTTGTGAATTTTTTATTAATTTATTTGTATGTAACTTACTTAGTGTTAATTATCTAGTCTAAATGTTTTAGTTTTAAGTTAGCCTCTTAAAGTTAATGAGATTAACTTAAAGTTACTGGTTTCTTCCAATAACTTGTAAATAGGCCTAGGAACTCGAAGGTAGGGCTAAGTAGCTTTATGCTATTTTTTGTAACTTAAGACTGCATAAACTTAAACATTGAAAGGGTGCTCTGGTTTATGTTTTACTTAGCCTAGGTTCTTAGGTTAGGATAAGTTAACTTTCTAGGCCTACCATGCCTTAAAGTATTAAACGACTAGCCTCAGTCTAATTTAACCCTAGCGCTGGCAAACGCCGGATATACGGCGCGAACGGCCGCGGCCGAAATGGCAACGCCGGATAGGCTATACGGCGCCAATGCAGGTGTTAAGTTACGGTAGGTAGGCCTATATATATATTTTTTTTTTTTTAGTTTTGTTCACTTTTTAGGGCTACTGTTGTAATAAATAAGTTAAATAATACAAACCAGAGTACCCTGGAATTATATATTACAAACTTAAAAAAAAACTTAAGTTAATTTAAACCATAAGCTTTGCTTCACCCTAGAAACAGTTTTTAAAGGTATCGTCATACAGCATGACGCTTAGGGTACGGTATCAATAAGTTACATAAATTTGACATACGGTATAGGCCTTTAGGAATTGCATGGTAAGGTATCATCTACCCAACCAATGCAGCCATCACAAGGCAAAATGACTGCTGAGAGCACTGCTGGAAATGAGTGTAGGAATGGTGGCGTCGGTTGAGGGGGTTGGGGTGAGAAGCTAAAAATGACTCGTCCTACGTCAAATTTACGTGCGATACCCATCCAGGGTTAAACAAGTTCTTCAGTTAGCCTATATGTAAGTTACCGGTAAGTTACCTATTTCATATGAGTTTTGGAGACAAGCTAGGTAGGCTTAGGCCTAAGTCCATTTGGGAAGGCTTGTAGGCCTACAGCCTTTTGAATGAGGAATTTGACACCTGGTCTGAATCACGATCTTGCTTGGAGCCACAGCCTCTGTAATCGGAGACTCTAGCAGCATTGGTAGTCTGTGCTATGTGAAAGGCCTCTCCCTTTCAGCGGAACTTATTTCGCTGAAATTTCCATTCATTATCATGTGAGTAGAGGTTTGGGAAATTTTCCTCGTTAAGCAAAAGTTTTTCTTCACCCTGGGTAACTAAGGGTGTGAATCAATGACAATTGTATTATTTTCAGAGGTTCCAGGACTAGAGAACAGGCCTAGGTCAGGGTTTTCCTTACGTTTATCATCTTCAATAATTTTCGCTAGGTACATTAAATGACTCCTGAGTCTTCTGAATTGAATTTACTGATAGTTTTACTGGTTTATCTTTCATTTTGCTGTCCTAAATGGACAATGTCACCGATAATATCAGCATGTGAATTTAGTAGGTAGCCTATTGATCTCATTGTGGTTTGTTCAGAACCCAGAGTATAACATTTTCAGATATGGTTTAGCAGATTGATTAGAAATTTCGTCAGTTACTATTTTTATATGTAACTAAAACATTCACAGCAGAGAGGTTTCTCGTTGTCTTCAATTTTATTGTCAAGAAGTACTGAAAAAGACGTCTTCCCAGAGTCAAGTCATGATGTACAGTCCGCCCAAAGCCACACGATAATGCCATTAATTGTCTGGTATATTTGTTATAAGTTAATCCATTTCAGAGATTTTTGAGAACAACTTATATGAAATTACTTTTGACACTTTCCAAAGTGATCTAAGTTAGCCTTTTGTGAATCCAATGTAGGTAGGCCTACCAAATGTGTTTGTTCTAATCATACATCTTTAACCCTTTTGCGGTCTGTTATGAAGTCTCCCTAATGTCCTTTCATGTATCTTAGGCCACTCATTGTGCCCAGAACCATTCCTCAGTCAAGTATTGGTTTACACCCCGCGTCTGTCCCTCAGATACATTAGGCCACTCATTTTGACCATTAGTGATATGCTCGAACGCTCTCTAGGCCATTCATAGTACCCAAGTTATAAATTTGTCTGTAAAAAATCATTATTCTGTAGTTCCCTGGAAGGTGCTGCACTCTGATCAACATTTATTTAACCATATTCAGGGTGTCCACATTCTGGAAAGTCAGGGATAGTCATGGAAAGTCATGGAAAAAAATTATGGTCATTGAAAGTCATGGAAATAGGCAAAAAGTCATGGAAAGTCATGGAAATCCCCAATGATGGATGGATTTCAGGGCACCTTTCAATGCTCTAGTCGGCCGTAACCGCGACTATTGTAGCATTTTTCCAAATTTTTAACAAATGTACGACAATTTCAATTTATACAGTTGTCTTAGTTTATGGGTTTTGAGTTTGTATTAGTTCATTGTTGTACCTATTGTACTCCATTGTTATCTGTTAACACATATTTCAATATTTTCTGTGAAATAACTTGTCTAGGCAGTATTATTTGTGTGTGTACGGTATATTATAATTTTTGAGTTAAGTTCGTGAGTCATGGAAATCAATGGTTAATGGTCATGGATAGTCATGGAAAGTCAGGGAAATTGATGACAAAATTTCTGTGGACACCCTGATATTATAACTGTGTCATTCAAGCTAGTGTCTAGCCGTCTGTTTTAGGAATTACACTCAACGAACAGCGGTTCTCATCGGGCCTAATTTATAATATGACAGATCAGGTGTTATCCATATAAATAGAATGTGGTTGAATAAACTCAAGTAATCTAATCCTAAAAAGTCTTCAAGATATATGCCAGCAATGGCCATTTATAAATTTCAGAGGAAATCACTATTATCATTCAACTATCTTGGTGGACTTAGAGGAAATGTTTCTGACTTCGGCAAAAACAACATACATTGGATGCAGAGGTTAGGCAAAGCCGATTTAGGTCCATGTTAAGGCAAAAAAAAAACTGAAGACTACTAATTACAATATGGCAATAAATATAAGTTAATTGAAAAAAAACAGGCCTAACTAATATACCAATTCTCTAAAATTATCGCAATTTTGTATAGGCCTACCTGTAACAATAATTTGATATAAATTTAGTACCTTCCTCAGTAATCTTAAATTGTTGAGCAATCAAATGCTCAGATAATCACGGTTTCTCTGTACCGTAGAGTGAGCTACATTTATCTGTCTTACTTCAAGTTATGTGTCTTTTCCTTCCATCTTATAATAATCGCTGGTTGTTTTAGTTAGGTATGCCTACTTATTGGAAAAATACAAAAATCTATATAATTCCATAAGCGAATCGGTCTCCACGAAATATCTCGAGCTAGGAAAAAGGTATCATAGCTGTTGGTGATTCATTTAAAGCTTAAGGTCCAAGGACGGTGGGAAAAATATCAGAAGTGTCAAAAATTACCTCTGCTCTGCCCCACAGACTGTCAAAGATCCAGTCATTTTCTAAAGCCTAGTCCACACATGGAGACTGAGTCTGCTGACTGTGCGCGGACAGTCGGCAAACAGTCTGTCAACACAGTTTCGGATACGAGTTTCCGATGTGTTTTGTGTCCACACTAGCCAGCCACTGTTTCCATGTTTGTTGGTATGGTGACGGAGGAGGACGTAATTATATCCTGTGTGGGCTTTATTTTTCTGAAACTATGTGTCTGAATCTAGGAAGAGACGATGATGGACCCAACATTTTCTCAAGCAAGGTTCGTACTATGGTCACAATCTTCTATCAGACCTTCAGATTAGGTGGAGGATTTAGGATCTTCACGAGTTTGACTTCTAAAGATTTTGAAATTTTGCTGGGCTTTGTTGGTCTTAAGATTTCAAACTTGAAGAGATGAACAATTAAATAAAATGTCATATAATAATATAAATAATTGAAAACTTATTCCAAAACTTTCAAGAAACTCAATCCAGCTCTTTTATTACCGACCAAAAATCGTAATATTACCGCTTTGCAGTCTAACTAAATGGGCTGAATGTTGAACACCTTCGGGTTGTCTCTTGTCTCCGTGTTTCCCATTCGAACGGGAAACAGAAAACACTGTATTTTGTCTCTAGAAACACCAAAATTTTTCTGCCGACTTACTGGAGAATGGAGACAAAATAGCAACACTCCGGAGACAGTCGGCAGACAATGTTTCCGCAGACAAATCGCCATGTGTGGACGAGGCTTAATAGAAGTACAGCTACATTGTTTCTATAAGCTGTTTTAAATATACCAGCTGATTTAAACATTGCGTATTTCAATGTTTATTGATTTTAGTGTTCCGCTTTTAGGTAAGAATGGTAATGCAGTGTTAAAACTTATCATGTTAGGGAAAGACCCCGACTATGAAAGGGAGTATTTAGGAATGGTGCAGAGTATTGGGAATGGTTAAGGACAAATTGCTGCAATTGCTGCTGTGGGTCCCTAGTTTTTTGTTGTTTTTATTGTTGTAAAATATTTATTGCTGGTTGTTTAAAATTACTTATTGGTAATATAGAATACAGAGTAGGCTACCTATTTTCAAAGTGTGCTGCAGTAGTCTGGGTAAATGTCTCAATATTACTGTAAAATGATTCCTTACCATATTTTTATTGTGTCTGTTTACGCCAGTGGCGTTTATTTAAGTTTTTCATGGAAACGGTTGAAACCCTCGCATAATAACAGGCGCAATTAGTTTACTTAGCCTTTTGATGACAAATTTGAGTTGAGATGTTCCTTCAGGCCGGCTTTCGGATATACCGGAGCGTGTGGAGCCTATGTTATTCACTTATTTTTATGGTTAAAACGCCCAGTTGAGTCCATAGTTGGTAATATGATAGGCCTATTATAGGTAAACTTATTGCAAACAAACTAATCTAAGAAGGTCTGTACCAGTAACATTTTGTAACTGGTTAATAAACCTTTCTCCTTCCAATAGCTTTTTAAAACTTATACTTCTTTCACAATATTTAGGCGGTTTGAGGGGAAGTCCCCTCACCACTTATTTTTTAATAGGCTATTATATGATGCTTAGTCACCTGTTGAGCTATTATTTTAAAGGCAATGGTCAAATGGAGGGGATAGATTTCTTCCCCTAAAACCGCCGTGAAGTATAGTTTAGCATCACAACACAAACCTAAGCTTTCATTACGAAGAAAATCATTAAACACAATATTGAACTTTGACACTCCGTTGTAGGCAAACATGGAAGACAAGGGGCTGGACTTTGCCAAGCCGCCGCTGGAGCCGGATGATCACTCCGGGGTCAATCGAAGTGTGCCTCGGAGCATTCTTATGAGAGAGTCGGGCATGAAACACAAGACGACCAATGTGCCGGTGGAGCTGCAGTGGGCTGCAGAAGACAGGCTGGTCATGCGATCTCACGAGGACTTGGTGAGTATCTACCCACACAAAGGGTTAAGTTGAGCAATATTTAAACAGCTTTTAATCTCTAAAAATCAAAATGGTAAAAAAAAAACATTTCTAGGCTACCTTAAAACATTAAAAATCTACATCAATATGCAGTAAGAATCAATACTTTAATACACTGCTGGTTAGGCCAATGGCTGAACTTACGATAGTCTACATCAGTGTAGCTTCTGTGTCACATGCAGAGCAGAGGCCACTGTGTTGGTATGTGGTATGTTAGAAGTTTGTTACAAGACAAGTATTTATTACTTGGTTAGGTTAGGTTACCGGTAAGTCAAACCTTTTAAATGTTAATAAAAGATTTGTTAGTGTACAACTAGCCTAACCTGGTGTGATAGATAACATTATAGTACCCAAATAATAAGGATTGTTTGGTAGGTGCGTCATCATTAGTTCATGGTTCAACAATAACTTTGTGTAGTCAAAAAATATTGGAATAATTACAAGATTATTTTGCGAGTTTAACTTACAAAAAATAAGTGACCGACTTGAGAAATAATAGCACTCAAGTAATATGAGCCAAATTTAATCTCTTGCTCTCAGTGCTTAGTACTTAGGTATTCATAGGCTAAATAAAATAACCTTTCTGAGGAAAATAGTTTTAGCTTGTTAGCCTTTGTATTTCTCAATTTTTCTATTTATGTCAGTCTATCTTTAGTTTTATTTTATGTGACTTGTTGGTAGTAATGGCAAGGAACTGGAATGGGCAATCAGTGTAGATGAATGTGAGAAAATGTTTAGAATTTGTCCTATCCAACAGAAGAGCCATAGTGTAGCATGTACTGTGATGCATCTACTTTTAAAACTAGGAGGGTTAATTATTGAAAAATATTTGAAAGGTTTAAAGCTCTAATTTCTTTCTACTCTTGTTCTCATTCGTATTTATCGTAATTTGTAAACCAAGCACCATAACCTATGGATTTAGTAAGTGTTTTTTTACAGCGTTGCCAGTTACCCGATGTTTCTCGATCAACCTTTCTAGTGGTATTCAGTCCTGATGGGTAAGTACATATGTTGATTTGTGTTAACTTGAAAGTAAAAAGTTTGAATCTCCATTGACAGTAATGCATCATGAACAATCTTGTTAGGTTATCGGGGTGGATTGTTTTTGTGTTTACTTTTTTTTAAATATTGCTGACCTTTCTAGATTTAATTCTTATCTCAGGTTAAGATCATTAGGACTTAAATCTCATTACTATTCAACTTTCTTATCCGTTTTGTGAAATACAACAATATTAATGTACTGTAGCCTACTAACCCCGCTTTGGAAATAATCAACCAATTGTTCAAAGGTTAGGCTTCTAGCTCAACTGAGTAGTGACACAGTAAAATGTTTAAACAAACAGATTGATAAATAGTGAGAACGCTAAGTGTCGCTAGTGCTTGAAATTACACCTCAGAGCTGTAAGCTGTGGGAAAAACATTCTGATATTGAACAAATAATTTATTTACCTATTTTGGCTCAAGGTCTTGTAAGTTGTTGATGAACTACTCAATGTGCATATCGCCGCAAATTGCGACATCTTCATGGAGTTTTTCTTACCACTATACTGTGCACATTTACATTAGTGATCTTATTCACTTAGCGGTCAAATTTGTTGTCACATGGTTGATTCTGATACTGGCTTCCTGGGAGGGGGGGATAAACAGAGGACCGGTAAAACCAAGGTCGCACATCAGGGGTTCTACTGTGTCGTGCATATTCTAGGTGCTTCAGTGACACCCAGTTTTTAGCTTTTAGACTATTATCCTGAACTTTTTTACTGTAGATGTTTATTACATTGAAACACCTATTGTCACAAAATCTGGTTGATCTAATTAAAAACTATTATTTTCTGTCATGCAGGAAAAAAGTAGCCTCAACCCATGGCAACCACAATGTTTACGTCACAGATCTCACCACGGGCAAGAACATCAAAACACTGACCGGCCACCCACGAACACCTTGGTGCATTGCTTTCCATCCGTCGTCCAATCAGATATTGGCTTCCGGCTGCCTCGGAGGCCAAGTTCGCGTTTGGGACTTGTCAGTAAGTTATAGCCTGTTTAAGCTTGTTGGCAATTGGTCGTTTCTGAACATAAGTTGTCTATTGCATTTGCTGTAACAAACCTGCAGACTAGGTAATTTCTATTTGCTTGGTTGGGGGGGCGAGCTGGCGTAGTGGTTAGAGCGCGGGACTTCAGTCCCTGAGGTCCCGGGCTCGATCCCCGTCAAGTCACCAATGGATTTTATCTAAGTGATAATGCCGCAACCCCTAGGTCTAGCCTGAAGTAATGTGAAAACAATCCCATGCTCGTGCCTAGCGTCCTGAGACAAAAAAAATGCTTGCTTGAATTTTCACTAAAATATTTTCTTAAAAATGTCAATTTTAATTTGTTAGTATGATTGTAATTATAAATTTGCAAAATTTGATAAAAATATGTCTGTTAACAAGCAAACTACAACAGTTTTTTTTATTCTCCTTAAGAAAACAACGAGAAACTTTAAATTAAGGTCTACCGATCAACTCTGTGTAATCTTTAGACTTGACTTAAAACATTTAAAGTGCTAATTCCTTTTAAAAGTTGGTTCTGCAAAATGTTTGAGAAAGAAATTGGCACATTTTATATTTTGGGAGTCAAGAAGTGGAAAACCACCTATAACATCTCCAATAAAACATTCCCATAGTCCGATCATGCTAATTCGCCTCCTCATTTTTGAATAGACACAAGTTTGGATTCTGAGGGCCCATCAAAACAAAGTAGTTAATCGTTCCCTAAATCTTACCATGAGGCCTATGGGATCTTATTCCCTTTATGGGAAATTAGCTAAAATAACCTTGTAAAACCTTTTTACAACCTTTCAAGTTATTTCAATGGCGTGAAATAATTACTGTCTTTGTCTGGCTTCAAAAGGTAGTTAGATAGGTTACAAAACAGTATAGAATAGAATACTCTTCTCTAAAATTAAACTTTTTCTTTGTACTGTATACATTACCTACTTATGTAGATTGCTCCCATTATAGAACGGTTGTTCCCCAAACATTATGGTTGAGGGTAATTTTTCTGTATCTTTTTCTAAATAAATAAGTTATTGTGGAGTGATTTTCAACAATAAAGTAGTTTTGCAAAATAACCAAGTCAAGTTGTAGCTTATCAAGTACAAATCATTAAATTGACTATTTTACAGGGAGGAAGTGAAATTTGGATGGCTGAGAGTCAGACAGTTATTGCGTCGTTGGCATTCCACCCGATTGACAGGATGTTGGTTGTCGCTTCTTACAACGAACTCCACTTTTGGGACTGGAGCCAACCGGAGCCATTCGCAAAGTGTTTTACCTCCAATGAGAAGGAAAAAGTCAGGTATGCCAACCTTACATGTTGAGTTTACAAAAGGACAAAAACTACTCGTACAAGAAAAATCACTTAAAAAAAGACTTTTACTGTCTGGTGTTTTTTTTTTTTCTTGTATCTAGTGATGACAATTTTCAAAGAGAAATAACAACAAATACACATATATAAGAATAAGCAGGACTAGCCTAACATTTTACTAGTCAGAACTGAATAACTTTGTTTTGCGATTATAATTAATTGTAACAAGAATTGCAATAAATTATAATCCCTCTTCTACAAAAGGTCGATGAAACCAGCCAGTTTTTACAAATGTTGGCAAATAAACCAACCTTAATTTTTTAAGTGTAGGTGGTTGATCCAGGGTAGGTTACTGCATACCTATTGCAGCTTATTTCTATGACAATCATTTTAGGTACGTAGCGTTTGACACTCTGGGCCATAAGCTGATCACTGGGATCGCCAACGCCCCGGTTCGCCCTGCGTCTCAGTGGGACCGAGTGGCGGCACCACAACCTCCACCCCCGCCCACTCAACAGATGGACTCTGAGCGTAGAATCACCATCTGCTACCGCTACATGGTGGAGCAGTACGAGCAGCTGGTGCAGCGGTACTGCGACTTGTCCAGGGCACGCTCAACACTAACTGTGGGTACCAACTTAAATCCTAGACCTACGTCGTACATGATTTAATTACATAATAGAATAAATTGTAAAAATGTAAACTCTAGTGTTTTGGTTTCTGGCTAGTACAATGTACTATTTCCATTTATATTTTTGTTTTATTTCCTTTTAATGGTTGGTCCGATATCAATAGTGGACACCTTACAAGATTTGCCCCGTGTATTATTTCTTCAATTTGTACAATGGCCTACTTGGACTTTTTCTTGCTGCTATCCCTCATTTTTCAGGCTATATGTCTAGCTTTTAAACTGTAAAAGTATTTTCAAGTTACGTTGTTTGATTCTTTCAACTTAAAATGAGTATAATAGTATTGTACTACACCATTGTAACTATTTTTTGTTGGAAACCAGATTCACTCATGTTTTTAGTGCATCCAAAATTTTTGAATAACTTACAGAAGTCCTTAGATACAGTTTAAATTTTCAAAAATTCCCTATATATAGCTGTGAAAAACTGGATTTAAATTATCATTATTAAGTAATTGTAATATCTACTTAACATTGACAAAATGACAGATGGACCGTGGCACTGACCCGATGGAACCCGAAGCAGAAACATCGGAGAGTCAGAGAGCCCGAGCGTCCTCCGCTCCTCGCACTGCACCAAGCACCAGTCAGGGACAGTCCCGCGGATCACTGGCGTGTGGGACGGACGAGGCGAGTGCGTCCCATTCATCCACAGAGTTCCTGTCCCCACCCCCGGGCGAAGAGACCAGTCCCCTACTACGTGTCCCACCAAGCTCGCCCTTGGCCATCAGACGCTTCAATATATCACTGCCATCGTTCTCCAGGTGAGAAAGTAAAATATAAATGGCATAGCGCAGAAACATTTGTGAGGAGCGTAGCCAGCTGTTAAAGGTTACAGCTACCCAGTTACCCTAATCAGATGGCCTTGTTTGTATCAGACCATCTTTTGACAGGACATATTATTATAAACATTAAACATACATTGAATGATTTATGTTGTCAACACTGGAAAAGAAATAGCGGTACAGTACAACCCCACTAATCCGTCTCCTACGGGACCAGGACTATGGTTAGAATAGCGAAAAAGTATAATTATATGAGAAGCATATTAAATTAACTTAACAAAAAATTGCTAAACTGTTATTTATTGATCCCGTGTATTGGTAGTTGGTACAAGATGATAATGTTTCCGTGACCGCAGGAGGCGCTTAAATATTTTGTCACAATTAGTGGGAGAAGATGATGTTTCTGTGATCGTGGGACATATTCAATATTTTGCCACGATCGCAGGATACGACCATGATGTTTCCTTTATTGCAAGAGATATTCAGGAGTTTGCCGTGATTGCAGATAGACACCTAACAACGATAGTTTAAGGGTGTAGCATAGAGCACAAGGGCCTAGGTTTTTAGGATTTGTTGAGAGGATAGCAGGTGCTTACCTGATTGGGAAAAAGTCTAAACTGGCACAGGAAACAGAAAACTTTTCAATTATATACAAAACATTAGAATATTTCACTCTCACTGACAGCAGACTGACTCAACAACTCACTGGCCACCATTTTGGACATGTAGAAAACTCTCTCTTCCTTAGTTGAAAATGCTGTCAGTGATAGTGAAATATTCTAATGTTTTGTGTATATAGTTATAAAGTTTTGTGTTTCCTGTGCCAGTTTGGACTGTTTCCCATTCAGGTAAGCCTGCTATCCTCTCAACAAATCCTAATAACAACAATAGTTTCCGTGATTGCTGGAGACAATGATGGAATCTCAAGTTCATGAGAGATGCTCAATACTTTGCTGCAATCACAGAAGACAATGATCAAGTATACACGAACACAGGCCAAAACCTGCCTGCCGCAATCGCTGGCATGATGATGATTTTTTATGATCCCGGGAATAATCAACATTTAACCGCGATTGCTGAAGACAGTGATTATCTCCACTCGACCATGGCAAATAGTCACGATATTACCACGATTAACATTCTCACCGATAGGAAATGGCACAGTCAGATCAAGATAGGAGTCGGACTTGCCAAGGTCGAATTAGCTAGGTTCTACTACACAAGCCTGCAAGCCTGCTAGTGGTTCAGCACCAATAATCTGGTATCAGTCTAAAGGTCTAAAAAGTTGTTTTATATATCTTTTTAAGTCATAAAAGAACGCTTGTTAGGAACAATTAACAGAATCGGGATAGATTGGCAGACGTTGGGTAAATTAAGGGCCATTTACTTCATTTTTATAGCAATTTATATCACTACGGAAATTAAGCGCACAGTAGAACACAGAAAATAATGGCCCAGCGGCCAATGATTTACTTTTTTGCTTTAAAATGAGTAGCATTTTTGCTTATCTTGCAATGACAATTGTTTAAGAAACCATTCAGTATCAGGCACTGTCAAAGTCCCAATTGTTCCACATTAGTAAGCATCTACTCCAACTGCATACTCTGATGCAACTACAATGACCACATAGTTTGCTCTTTACACACAGTTTCAGGTCTAGATCATCGTCTGCCTCCTCGCCTCGCATGGTCACTGTTGAGGGAGACAGCTCAGTCAGATTCGCCCCATACAGATCTCAGCAGAACACCCAACCACAGACTCGCTCTATGTCACGCCTAGCTCTCTCCCCAGAGACTATTGGGTTCGACGACTCAAATAGAGGTTTGTCAAATTCCCTTTAGTTGTTTGTCAGGTGTTTTATTTTATTTGCGTTTTTCTTTGCCACAAGCATTTTTTTGTGTTTTTTTTAAGGGAACGGTCCAAAGCCTGTTTCGACCAATGTCAAATCTGGGTTAGAATCTGTCTCGCTCAGAATCAAAAAACATAAGGGTCTGAGACGAGCACAAAACCTCAATCTATACAATCAATCTTGGTCAGCTCAGTAAATTTGAAAACCCCTCTTCTCAGCAACCTGCAGTGTTTTAGCAATTTCTAGTATTCTTTCAGTTGTTTTAAGAATAGATTCATAAGTAAATAAAGTGAACAGTTTTGTTCTCCTTATGAGTTTGTTCTCGTGTACAGAGGTAGGACGATTGATAAATCAAAATTTTCTTAACAACTCGATTTGGGCCTGAGACTCGGCGGTCAACAATATTGATTTAACCCGACTCAAAGTAAAAATGTCTGGCTCGCAGACCCCTATAGTTTTTTTAACTAAAATCTGGTGTTTCCAAACATTTAAATGAAACTTTCCCAACTCAATAACTGCAATTTTTAGAGCGACTCCTGTCAACTGTGAGGACACCTATATTCTGGGGTTCCCGCAACGAGCCGTCTGACGGGACCAGCACGGAGGTGAACAGTGGAGTGGAGTCAGAGAACGAGGAGATTGACGTTCAGAACGTCTCTCACAGTGAGGAGGAGTCACAGTCTAGCCCAGACATCAGCCAACCGTCTCCCCAGGTCAACAACTCGCCCCGGACACCAAGGAGTGCAGGTGGAGAAACAGTTCTCTTTACTCCTTTCTATCATAAAAGCAATTAAGCCGTTATGATGAGGGGGTTCCACTTTCTCAAACTACCACTTGGTTTCTTAATCCTCCAGAAGAAATAAAACCCAAATCCCGCAGTTTGATCATCCTAGTTCGCGAACTTGTTTAAAACTGTAAACAGGTTTTAGCAAATTTTGTCAAAATGAAATAATAATCAGTGATCAAATAATTCGAGGTAGTACACATACTAATATAAATAATAGTATTGGTTAATGGGTTTTCTGTCTTCTCAAATCTCAAATCAAAATGATCTCAAATCAAATTGTTAAATAGTCTCACACCTATGTCCTTTTGTCCTACCATGCCGATTACCTCAATAGCCTCTTTTCGGAAAATTCACTGAAAAAAGCATTTGCATTGAATACATTTGAGTTTTTGTGTATTATAATTAGTTTTCTCATTTCAGACTACTTCTTTACAGATATATTTTACAACAAAACTTGGCTGAGGGTATTTTTATAAGAAATACTAATTTGTTTTGTAAAATATTACAGAAAGCTCGGCTCGAAGGACCTCAGAAGCATCCGTTTCACAGCTAAGGTCTCAGTTCCATCGTTTGCAAAGTGTTTATGAAAACCGAAACAACGCTTACTCTTCTCATGCACATGTAAGTTTTAACAGTTAAATAAACCGTTAAAACAACATAAGTTACTAAAAACAAACCAAAGTGATAAGTTGGGCGTTCTATAATTCCGGAAAAATTGGTTGTGGTACCCTTCACAAGAAAAAGTAAACTTCCAGTTGAATAAGCCTCTTTAATCTTTTTCCGTGACAGATAACTTAAATCTACCCCTTTTTAAGGATCAATTTATCTGTAAAAACTCGTGTTTAAAATATTTTTTTGTTGTTGTCACGCAAATATTGTATTCGCAGGTGTTCAGTCCAGAGGCGCAAGCTGCTGAACGTAGACTGTTGACTCGTCTGAACGAGATCCTAGAACGGCCGCTGCCTGAACCGAGGGCGCGGAGGTTCTTTGTGTCCCGACGTTCTGCCTTCCAACCTCGGCAGGCCAGCTCCACCCCCTCCGCTAGCACTGCCACCGCCTCAGCCGCAGCCACCACGTCTGATGCCATCGGTGGCGTGCGCTACGGCATACAACTGCTCAGCAGACACATCGACAACATGCAGCGGCTCTGCAGGTCTGTGTACGTATCCGAATGTCTCCTATCACCCTAAAATTATTTTACGACTAGTAGTTTTCCAATGGTGTGAACTTTCAAAGCTGCTGCAAAAACAGGAGTTGTTGTTTCTATAATTTTTTATAGTTTATCTCAATTAATCTATCACTCATTTTCATATTTGCCTTTATATACTCGCCCCCCATTATTGACTTATTATTCTGTACAGAGCATAACATTTTTTGCTCAAAATTTGTACAATAATATTTGTATCTGCAGAGCCAGACTGGAGATTCTGCAGCTGCAGCAGATCCGGCGCATGTGGGAAGATCTTCAAAGTCAGATATACGCTCTGCACGGCGCTGTGCAAGGCGGCGGATCTGCACCAGCCACTGGCGCCAGTGCTGCCACTACGCCAGCTGCAACATCTACCCCACCTGCAACATCTACCCCACCGACCACCGCAGCAGCGGACTTGCTTACTGACGATGACTCTGACGATCCGGGCAATAATGGCGAGGTAATCAGACTTAAAACATATACAGGGTGATTTGTACTCAGTGTGACAAAATTTTTTTGATGTAAGTACAAAGTAAATGAAGTGTGATGATGCATATCAAATGTTCCAAGTCTAAAAATTAGCTTAACAAAAAAATATTTTATGTTTTTTAAAAATAACCATGCTTTTAAACTTAATACAGCGATTTCTCAATTACCTGTATATAGATTTGAGTAGATAATGTCATTTTCGTGTTCCACATTAAATTTTGAACAAGAATAATGAAAAATGACGGAGGATCAGCTGTAAAAACTCCGTTGTAAATAGATTCAAAGATAAAAATTAAGATATTTGATAAAAATTTTAAAAACAATGGTCTATTGTATTTTTCACACCCTGTATACAGGAAAGTGTCGGAATATGTTAAAAACTGTGCCATTTTATAAGCTTTCCAACCATATGCTACACTATTGAGGTTTAGATATTTTTTTGTTTGTTTTAGTGGTTTGAATACCAGATAACAGGGAACTTTTTACTGTTTTTACTGTTCAAGCTGAATAAAAAATACAACTTTTGCTTAATACATGCCGACTTTCTATGTTTTAAATGTTGAAGACACCATGCTTTTTAGTCTTCAAACCATTAAAGCGTACATAAGCAGACATAAACCTCAATAGTGTAGCATATCTTTGGAAAGCTTATAACATGGCGCAGTTTTTAACATATTCCGACACTTTCTTGTATACAGGGTGTGAAAAATGCAATAGACCATCGTTTTTACAATTTTTATCAAACATCTTAATTTTTATTTTTGAATCTATTTACAATGGAGTTTTTACAACTGATCCTCCGTCATTTTCTATTATTCTTGTTCAAAATTTAATGTAGAACACGAAAATTACATTATCTACTCAAATCCATATACAGGTAATTGAGAAATCGCTGTATTAAGTTTAAAAACATGGTTATTTTTTAAAAACATAAAATAATTTTTTGGGAAGCTAATTTTTAGACTTGGAACATTTTATATGCATCATCACACTTCATTTACTTTGTACTTACACCAAAAAAAATTTGTCACACTGAGTACAAATCACCCTGTATATTTAGTCCTATATATCTATGATTTGTAAAGTTTTGATTTTTTATGGTGATTCTCCTATATTGACCCATAAAATAACTAAATAACAAGAAAATCTGATTATCACAAAAACAGCTCTTTTAACCCTTTTAACCCTGAACAAAATGGTTCAACCCCCAATGCTGTAATACTCACAGTTCAAATGTATCCATAAAGCTGGGAGGTATGAGTCAGTTTGCTGATAACATTTATTTTAAAAATTTAATATTCTATGTTTTTTTTATTAATATCAAAGCTATGATGTTTTTTTCTCAGAGAATACACAGCCTGAACGTGGAAGAGCGGCAGCTGGCATTATGATAAAACAACTTAAAGCCTAAAGGGCTCTAAAATTGAAACTTTTCGTAATAGGTAAAAAAATTGGTATTGTTCTTTATCCATAAGAAATTAACAAGATTGCTAAGTTTCATTAAAATCTAAAACAAGAGTGTTTAAGCTTGGTCTAGCAGACATAGGACGCTGAACCCTAGTTACCTCTTATGTGTTGTTCAGCTGCATTGGAGACAAAGGAGGACGCCACAGACCAATCGAAGACATGTCCCACCGACCATCCGACCCTCCAATAGGTTCAGAACTAGAGTGCTAAATGATCAGTTCAGGTTCAGGTAGGTCAAGTTTTGATATATATTATATCTTCGACTATTCTAGTTAAAGAATGTCTACTGGTATGATTTTTAGATTTCATAACAGCCCTGACGAACTTATTTAGTGATATGATTGACGCCAAAGACAAGGGTAAATATAGTTCTCTAGTTATGCTGGACTATTCAAAGGCATTTGATTCAATGAACCATGAGATGCTATTGGCCAAAATGAAATATTATGGCTTTGACGAAAATATTTTGAAATGGATAAGGTCATACTTAGACTCCAGGCTGCAAGTGACGCAATTAGAGAGTGAAACATCAACCCCGCTTGTCAAAACCCAAGGAATTCCCCAAGGCAGCTGTCTTGGGCCTGTTCTGTTCAATTTGTACACGGCAGACCTTCCTAGCTGTGTGCAACATTGTACAGTTCATTTGTATGCCGATGACTCACAGCTGCACTTGTCTTATGAGCCATCCCAGATTAGAGCTTCACTCGATCTCATTAACTCTGATCATATTGTCTTGTTTCTGTTTTGTTATGCTCTATTTATTTGTTGTTAGCTTTATATTGTTATTGACGAAAGTTGTTCTGAGAAGCAGTATTTGTACTGAGAAACGCTTGATAAATAAAGGCATTTTTATTTATTTATTTATTTTATTTTTATTTATTTATTTATATAATTTGTTTGTCATTCATATACCGTAAACATTACAAGTTTACCGTTTGACTATTTTGAATTTTCAGGTTAGCTTAAATTTTTACTTGCCCTCTTAAAAATTAATTTTCAAGAGTTCTTTGTAAATAAAGCTTTTCTTGGCACTCTTTTAGTATTTGCCACGGAAATTTATGTTATGTAATAAATTCTTTACATGTTTGGAAAATTTTGAAAGTTGTTTCTATCAAAAAATATCTAACCTGATTACTCTAGGTGTAGTATATTAAATATTGCATGGATCGCTACTTTATAGGTTCATGGATGATAATTAAGAGTTTTTGTTACTTGTTGCAGCTCTGTACATCGCTACCACATGAGGCATCTCAACAGGCGAGCTTCTTCATCAACTCAGGTATTATTAAATATTTCAATCCGAAGGGTGATTCACGAACATTGTGTACATGTACAATGTCCAGTATTGAATGTGATCTAACTCAAAGATCAAGGATATATTTTTCTTAAAAATGTCCATAAATTTCAGGATCTATCCATGTGTTTCTGGCTCAGATTTGTTTATTAGCCAATAATGTTTCTATAACTTTCAATCTAGTAATAATTGTATTGAGTTAATCCTTGTCCCTTGTCATGTAGGCGACCAGTGAAGGCGAGAGAGGCGAGGCGTCGTCCAGTCAAGTGTCGAGTACGAGTGATGAGCGAGGCTCGGAGAGAGGAGTCAAACGCAAAAATCAGGACCGTGACTGTGACCCTCTGTTCCGCCCTCGGCCTGCCTCTACCCCCTCCACGACTTCTACCACCACACCCAACCCTGGACCTAGCACTAGCACCAGCAGGACTGCGGCCGCCATGTCTGCGGCTGGTTCTAGTCTCCCTGCAGTAAGTTTATTTCACGGATTATTGCAGTTTAATTTAAATACTATAAATGACATTGACATTATTTAAATACTATAAATTTGTGTAAAATACCTGTATCTATGCGATCTTATGTGGCGGTATGGCAAATAGTTTCGAAATCAAGGATAAAATCGCATGAGGTACAAAAAGCTACATACGAGTAATCCTCAGGCTACAACACTGCTGTAGTTTCAGGGTCCATAGCAAAAAATTGAGCCAAACACATTTCTAATATAGTTTAATTTTTTTTTTTATTTGTATCATCTTCTTTCCTATGTTCTTTTAGATGGTAAAATTTGTAAAATTCACATTTAAAATAAATTTTCTTGCAAAACAAACTAAAGAATAATGGACCAGTAGATAACTCACTTTGAACTGGTCGTCTTTTACTTCATTTTACAATAAGAAATAGAATATGAAATATTTTGTTAGAATCCACTCGTTTTCAGTCTCAGTTTATTTTGTTTTGTTGAGTTTTTTAAGAGTTCTATGTTTTGTTGTTTGAGTTTCTTTAATTGCCATACTTTTTGTTTTAATGTTGCTGAATGATGATAGTTTACAAAGAAAATCCGTACTCGCAAGAACACAGTTTTCAAATTAATATGAATCAATGTCTTTTTATAAATTGTGGGTATGGTCAATAGCAGATTTCTTATAAACTAAAAGTAATTCAACTCCTCTATGACTTCTTCATCCCAAAATTTTGTACAGTGTCGAAGATTGATTGTTAGAAATAGAGAGGCAAAAACCACTCGGAAAGTATGGGGTTATACTAGGAATATTGAATATACATTATAATTTATCCATGTATCTTTCTAAATGTGGGAGGGTGGCTACCTCCCCTAACTGCATCACTATCGTAAAACATGCATTCATTGTAATGAAATGTGTTTTAGGTGATACGCGAGACCATCGTCCAGTTGGAGAACGCATTGTGGCGCCACGGCAACCCGAGACACAACATGTTGCGCAACACTCGGTTGTCCAGGTTTACAAGGCAACGGGAGGAGCGCATGATGAGAAACCTCTGGGACACTGGTATGTGTAGCTGACTTGTGTATCTACGATTCTAAGAACATAGTGGCACAGAAGGTATCGGACAACATGGGATACCAATGAGAATTGCAGTAGAAAACTTGTAGGAGACATCTTAATTCACAAGCTTTTGCATCTAGCATTATAAGAATGCATTTTGGTCAATATTATCAACCGTCATAAGTTAAAGATTGCTTTTAGACGTTTTGCCGAACACATTGAAAAAACATTTTAAGTGGCTAGGTTGAACTGAGAATGTTAAGTTAAAAACATGTTTTTACTTTTATCTGAACAAATTCCTTCAGGCTGTCACTCTAACCTACATTCTGCCTTTATTTTGTTTGCATCTGTTAAATAAGTAATTTTTATCACACATTTGTTTAAATCAATGATTTACTTATTTTTTTAATTGCTTGTTTCAGAAAGCAGCCATGAATCAAGTAGGGACGATCAGTCAGAAGGGGACACTTCACAGTACGTATAGCTGTCACTATAGATACAGAAGTTGTGTGGAAGTGACTTTCAACTCGTAATCCAAACCTTACTAGCAGTTAAATTGTATCTTTACTACCTATCTCTATTCACACACTCAGCACAATGATTGATTTCTTGATCAAAAGTCTCGTTATTTGAGTATTTTAATTTTTGTTTTAACCTTATTCACTCCTGAAAAGAATGCCACTACCATACTTACTCTCTCCTGTTGTCACTCTATTCCTAATTGATTTTCTGATTTTTCAACTTCTTCCAAGTTCCCTTATGTCTTCTAGCACTTTGTCATTTATTTTTATCTTTGTCACATCAAATGCCTCACTTTGGTTTCACCTCTTATAATTCTCCTACAGAGTACTAACTAGCTTAAATGTATGTATTAGAGCTTGCCAAATAAGTACTTGAATGGTGTATCATATTTTTGGAATATTTAAAGATTGATTTGAATGTTCATATCTTTTTCTCATAAAACATTTAATTTTCCTACGAGTATTTCCTGTGACATTATTGGTTGGAAAACAAAATGCATGCATGAAAACCGCTTTGATCAACACTGATGAAACAACGTGTTGTTTTAGACAAAGCCCCCCGTGGGAGGCGGATAACAATGATACAGACTGGACTAGAGAGTCTACTAGAATGAGGGCTAGGTGAGTGTTTTGACTGTTGTGGAAAATGGTGTTATCCTGGCATGGAATGAAAATCAGAATACTATCTACTACATCACAGAAAACTCTATAGAAAACTGAGGTCGATGAAACTGGAGGTTGAAATCTGGAATGATCAATTATTTAGTTGTGACACAAAGTTTTAGACTTAGACTTAGAATTGTATAGTCAATGATTGTCTTTTTATGGCTCTTTGTAGTAGGTTGCCCATTTCTGAAATATGAGCAGAGCTGGCCTTTAATGGATTAGCGACTTAGATTTAGCATTCTGAATATGAGATTTTAAATTTTTTTTAATATAGCCAACTGTACTGAAATATTTTAGCTAGAAAAGTCATGCAATTAGTGTATACCTCGGTCATGGCCATTTTAGTAGCAAAAAGTAAAAGTCACAACCTGGAAAATCACAGATTGTTTTCATTTAGTTAGACTCACCGTCTCTGACACTAAGTCCTCTTCTAAGAACAACCATCTGTATACTAATCGGTTATCTTATAAAAAGATAGGGCATTTGCCAGGAATTATTAAGGAAATTGACAGGAAAGCAAGCTTACCTTTAAATAAGTCCATAGAGACACATAAAACATCACAAAATTAAAAGTAGAAATTTTCGTGGTCACTGACCACTTTTTCAACCACTGGAGATTGGAGAAAGTATATGTGGACTTCTTTCTTGGGCTAAAGCCGGGTTTTCCTAGGCGCGGAAGCGGAGAGCGGAGAGAGGAACGCGGAGAGCGCACTCCACTTGTCTTAGGTAATTTAATGTTTCTGTTTTCCTAGAAGCAGAGCGGAACACCATGTTAATTTCTTTTCCGCTGTCCGCGTTCCTCTCTCCATTCTCCAGTGGTTGAAAAAGTGGTCAGTGACCACGAAAATTTCTACTTTTAATTTTGTGATGTTTTATGTGTCTCTATGGACTTATTTAAAGGTAAGCCTGCTTTCCTGTCAATTTCCTTAATAATTCCTGGCATCTGTATACTAAGTTATTTGCATTTTTGTGGTAGATCATCCCCACCATTTGAAATTATGAATTTTTCTGTTAAATTAAACTATACAATCAATAGACAGAAGGGGAAATTGATTGACTTTTTACTTTCTTTACAGGCAAGTGCTGTTGTTGATGGTCGACAGCCTAACAAACTTTTTTGAAAATGACAACCTGACTCAGCGGCCCACCTCAAATGAAGCTCTCAATGATAGAATCAACAGTGAGTTGAATACTTACAAAAACTATTTTTTTTGAAATTTGATTATTCATTTTGGTATTTAGATTGAAAAATATTAAACGTTATTCAAGATACAATCTTAATTATAGCACCATCGATGTTGACAAAAGTTAGGGACTGCAACCAATTGAAATTGTACTTTAACAGTTAAATTTTGCTCGTTGAGTTTTACTTTAAGATGTAACAAAACTACTGCTTGGTATTAATCGTATAGAACTATATCCAATCCATTTTAGACGTACACTGATTAAACATCCCTATAATTATCTTTCAAAATAGCTATTTTAGATAGTAGCATAGCTATTCTACAGCAGGTTTTAAACATATTTCGTGTAAAAGGCTGAATAGCTAAGTTTCCTGGAATGTTCAGTGGCTTTTTACAATTCAAAAAATGTTTTTACAAATTTTGGTTAGCATTAAAAAAAAAAAATGTTGGTGATAGTTCAAATTAAAGAAAATACATCGATACTTGTGGAAAATGCATTGCTGTAAAAATATTAAAATAGCAGAGGCAGTATTCCCATCGGGCATGATGATTATCAGTGTGATTGGTCTTAAAAACTAATGTCATAGTAACATCTTTTTTCACATTTTCCCTCGGTAAGTGTTTACTGTATAAGTGTATAAATGAACTAGTGTTGAAAGACATGTTTTACTATAATTGTACAACTCTATACAAACATTTCCTCGTGTGTTTCAGATCTGTACGTGCTACTACAATTGGCTCTCAACCTCACTGATCTCTTACTTGCTCAACTTGTCCACTCAAGGTACTTACATTACAGTTGGGTAGTCCTGCTAATCTAAAACCCAATAATACAACAGTGTCTGCCAGTGGCGTATCCAGGGAGGGGGCCGGGCCCCCCCCCCCCCCCCCGATTTTTTTTTTTTTAGTTACCCTGTACACATGGTACACGGGAGCGTTGCAACGCGCGTTCTAGAAACAGTCAAATGAGTGCGTAGACACTACACAATACGTGTTGTTATTATATAAAATACCGGATTACTGGAATGTTATCAATAAAAACAATTAAAACACGTCTCCGAAGATCGCGCGATCAAAAACCGCTATTGCCGCGATCGGGCATGGACGATGACGTTTCCGTAATCGAGGGAAACAATGATAACGTGTACGGCCACGAAAGATGATCATGATTTTGCCACGATCGTTCATGACGACCATGACGTGTGACCGCGGGAGACGATGATAACGTGTACACGTCCACGGGAGATGTTCGTGATTTTGACGCGATCGCGCAAGTCGACGATGACGTTTCTGTGACTGCGGGAGTAGACAATGATGTTAACATGGCCGCGGGAAATGATAAAATCTTTGCCGCGACCGTGAAAGGCCATGATAATGTCTACATGACCGCGGGAGATGTTCATGATTTTGCCGTGATCACGCAAGTCGACGATGACGTTTCTGTGACTGCGGGAGTAGACAATGATGTTAACATGGCCGCGGGAAATGATAAAATCTTTGCCGCGACCGTGAAAGACCACGATAATGTCTACATGACCGCGGGAGATGTTCATGATTTTGCCACGATCACACAAGACGACGATGGCGTTTCCGTGACCGCGGGAGTAGACTATGATGTTTACACGGCCGCGGGAGATGATACAATGTTTTGCCACGACCGCGGAAGACAACGATAATGTCTACATGACCGCGGGAGATGTTCATGATTTTGCCACGATCACGCAAGACGACGATGACGTTTTCATGAGTGCGGGAGAGAATGATGATATCTACACGGCCGCGGGAGATAATCAGAATTTTGCCGCGACCGCGGAAGACCTCCCACCAAAAGACGCCGGAGTGGTACAGTGCCGATTAAATAGGGTCTTCTGTACAATGTTTTATAATTTTAAAAAATTACGGCAGCTGGTACATATAGTGTCTACTTCAGTATCCAATAGTCATTGCGTGTACATTACATATTTTTGGTAGAGTTTTCGATCACTGGACGACCACTAGTATGCTTTATTCTATAAGTTGAGTGTAGTTTTATTAGCTTGATTTATTTTATTAAAATTACGTCACACAGATTAATAGTAGTTTAGGCAACTTGTTTAGATTTCAGAATGGTAAAAAACTAATTTTTAGTAGTAATACACAAATATTATTCTCTACTTTAGAGCCTCCAGAGGTGTTGTAAACTGCAATTTAGCACCATAAATACCAAAATTTTTCCCCTTCGGTCCTGGGGGGTATTCCCCCCGGGGGCAGACCCCCCGGATCGGGCCCCCCCCCCCCCCCCAAGACAGAATCCTGGCTACGCCACTGGTGTCTGCCTCTTTGACCTTGTATTTGCCTGTTCCCATAGGCCTTTGGCTTGTGTGTGTTAAATCAAAGTAAGGGGTGAGCGCATACTGTTGTACTGTACTGATAAATACCAGGGGGACACCAAGACACGAACTGTCAAAATCACTGTCTTGGATTCGTATTCAGTTGCACTGCAGACTGAGTCATTGGCAAGAAAACAGTTTAAATTATTGTATCTAGGACAAAAAATGTCTTACCTTTAGTTCTTGTCATTGGGCTATCAAATTGGACTAAAAAATGGTAACGTTAGATAGTAACTAGACCAGGGTTTGGACCGTTCCCTAGTACAAAATATGTGCTAAGCTATGTCAAGACTCAGCCTAGTTGCATATCTTTATCTTACATCCTAAAAGGAATTTGTACTAGTCAGTTTGGATTATTGTGTTTTCAAAGTTTTGCCACGAAAAGAATCAAGAAATTAAATAATCTCAACATTTTACTGTAAACAGGGTAGATGAAATAAAAACACTGATCATCAATCAGTTTTGTGTATAACTATATAATCCGTACTTTCCACAGTATACTGTAAAGGAAATCCTGATTCAAAAATTAAGATTACCAAAAATAAAATGTAAATGTTAATAATCGTTATATAGGAGAGAGTTAGAAGCAAGGCGCAGCAGTATGCTGGACTCTAGCCAGAATAGACACGGCCTACGACCGTCTCGGTACTCGCGCAGCCGCACGTCTCTGGCCTGGCGCAGGATACTGAGGCGAGCTCCACCAGCAGGTACAGGCACTGGCGACCAGCCGACACCCAGGAGGGCGGCTACTAGCAACAATGGTGAGTCTGACAATGTTACGTGGTGAGTCTGTATGTTTGGCTCGGTTTTGGTGGGGAAATATATAGTTTTTATAGCTCACATTTTGTCAATGGTAGGAGATGCATGTCCGAGTGTGCCTTACTGGATCTGCACCATTGACGTGTGGAGCAAAAAAGGAGCAATGTAAACTTCCAGTGTTTAGCATGGCCTGGTCACTCGTGTCAAAAGTAACACACAACCTAACATGATTACGATATGTAGCGCTATAACAGCAAGACATGCACCAAAAATGCATTTTTTAACAGTTTTCTTTTACTTGTGTATTATTACCCAGTATTTTTTTTTTAACAGTGCATATAATTATTTCTGTCTGCAAGAATATTTAATCAAGTTTTGTAATGCCCCCTTTTTAGCACGGAATAAACTCGTTCTGTCCTGAAAATTGGGCAGGAAATAAAAATCCTGTCCCGTTCTAAACTAAAAATGCAATCCTCCATAATCCTAAACATATCATCGTAATTTAAAAGTTTTTATGAAAATTTTAAAATTAACTTGTTTAACACTTGTATAATTTTCAGGTTCAGTCAACAGAGGCGTGACCGCACGACACGCGGTGTTTCGCCCCGGTAGTCTGCCTCACCCCACGCCCCGGCCGCCCATCGTGCCTGTCGTAAGGGTCAATGACCTGCCTGCGCCCCCAGCAGAGTCCACCCCTGCACCTCGCAACCGACCCTACTCTCCACCCATACCTCACCCCATGATGATACCTCCGAGGTTCTTCTACTCGTCTGGCACTCGTTACACACCGTACACACCAGCCGAGTCAACCAGTGAAGACTCGTCACCCGCACAGGACAGAGGCAGTGACTTCTTTTTTATGCGAGGTACTTTGATTTTCTGTAAATTTATAACTGTAGGAATACTCAGTACACTTCATAAGTAAAAGTGCCTACAAGGTAATGAATAAAATGAAATAATACAATTTCAAACTTACACTTTCTTAAGTAGGCTACATTAACTTATTATCCAGCTGTTCAATTTATTATGGGATAAAAATTATGGTAATCAATTGTACCAAATATAAAAGCAGTTTTATGAAGTTCAAAGGAGGTTTCCGATTGTTTTCAAACCTAATATTCAAGGATTAGTCTTGAGTTCTCCTGTAAAACTCCTTGAATTTTTTAAGCTAGAATTAGTAGACACTGCCCTGTATATTGGAGTATTCTTTAATCTAGCAAGCATCTAGTCCAGGTCAGATTATAGGGAAGTATATTGAGATCCTGAAACTTGTAGTAAATTGAATACTTCTTAATTACGTAGTAAATTGAATACTTCTTAATTACGTGTTAGGGTCTAGTTATTAGAAACCTTGATATTATTTTTATTTTAACCTCAGAATAATTTTGTATCGTTTGTATACTCGAAGTTATTATTATTCTCTGGTTTCAGCCGGGTATGGACCGAGCTCTGTGATTCTAACAGATACACCGATGTCCCCCCACCACCGAATACAAGCCTGGGACTTCTCCAAGTACAAACTGCCTGATCTCGGAAATGGTAAGAGTTCTGGCAATCAGTAGTGTGATAAGTTGAATGGACTTCAATCTTAAATTGATTATTACCACTACAGTATGGAAAAGTAATAATATAGATTGATGGGAAAAGTACATTCTTAAAATGCAGGAAATATTTAATTAATTTAAGAAATTCATGTAATCATGCTATAAAGGGCTACGCTAGTTCTCTTTATCACCCATAGGTAAAAAATTTAACATTCAAACTAGGGGTCTGCGGGTCAGACTTTTTTGGTTCGGGTCGGGTCGGGTCGGGCCGATAATTTTGGTCCTCGGGTTTCGGGCCAAAATCGGGTCGGGCCAAAAATTATTAATTACCAGATTTTTTGTCTTTTAACTCTGTGTTTATAATATTACTTGAAAATAAAATATGAAAAAAAATGAATTTATGTATATTATTTCATGTTCATAACTTATTTACAGCTTAGGAGTTGAATCAACTGCAAGAAAGAAGAAAATAATTTTTTTTATCAAGCCATTCTTTCCCATTTTCATAACTGTTGAAATATCTAAATAGTTATATTACAACAAGTTTGAAATGGAACTTAAATATAAAAGGATCATAAACAAATCAATTAACCTTATCACAAGTTTAGGGCCTGTGGACTGGCTTCAAGACTGCAAGCAAGAAGAAAATAAAAATTCTATGTTTCCACCATGCAATATGAATCATTCATTCCCTGCCTCCTAACCTCCTAAGTATAAAAACCTCACATTTACAATAGCATTATTAGTTACATCATCATAAATAAAGAATTATCTATTATTGGCATTTAGGCCTACAGCTTTACATAGGAATTAATTTTTATAGTAATAGGCTAAGCAACATGACAAGTGGAGAACTCATTGAAGAAAAGATATTGTGTAAACTAATTTACTATAACACTCTAAAACAGTAAATAACACACATACATTGTTTATGGTATAGTTATAGTAAAGGCTGTAAAAATTGCATATCATGTCATACACAGTAGTATAGACCTACGGTATTGCAAGAGATTAAAATCCTAAAACAACTGATTTTGATAGCTAATAAATGAAAAGAATTAAAAATCCATAAACTCAAGTCAAACAATATCACAATAATTAATTAGGTAGCCTACCCGAAAAGGAACTCTTAATATAATTATAGAAAATTATATTAAATCAAGAGAAAAGAAAGTCAAATGCTAATTTGGTAACATAAGCAGACAGCACAGAAATTATAGTGCCCTAATTAGCAACACAACTCAATGTTTTTATACTGTAAGTCAATGTTTTTGAAACTGTAAGGTATTTTTCTCGGAAGGAAGGGTAGTAGAATGTAAACAAAAAACCATGAATCACACTCACAGCCAGGTCCGCCCGGAGACACTCAAGGTTACAGACCCTTCCCCTCCCCTCCCCTCTTGCACAACCCGGCTCGGGGACACTCAAGGTCATAGACCCTCCCCCTCCCCCGCCCTATTACACCACCCGATTGTCCAATTGCTGACAAAATGCAAGTAACGAAACAAGGAAGTAGAGACAAAAAGATATATTATTTCTTTATTAAAAAATATAAAACTGTTACAGATAATTTCCAAAGAAATTAATTCATGGTAGTCTGTGTCTTGTAAATATTGTATTGGATCTTAGAAATATCCTTTTTGAAACTCAATCTATCTTAAGAAAAAATAATTTTACTGATGAAAACTTTCATAAAAATTATAAAATATTTAGGCCTAACCTCTATGTAGACTTGCTGATACTTGACTTTTTTTTTAAAAGAAATGGTGACCATACAATGCAGAACCAGACGATCAGAAGTGTTGTTTTGTTTTGTTACTGAATGACAAAAAGGACAATAGGAAAATAAAAGAACAAGATACAGATCTGTACACTATATCAGATATTTCTTTTGTTTATAATTTATTATGTAAAATACTAAAATATATTTTAAACTAGGTATGGAATAAACAATAAATAATTAAACTGGTACCTCTGGATAAATAGTCTTTCTTTTGACTTCGTTTTCTTTGCACTGTTGCGTCACGGCTTTTGTCAGTAGACACTGGCTCTGGCTAGTGACAGTACGGCAATCGCTCTGTTGTGTCTTTGTTCTTAAGCCATCGTGAGCAAACTTAATATTTAATTCGAATTTTAACGTTTTAATTCCTCTGTAATAATATATATAAGAGTGTTTCTTTGAAAATAACTTATTATAACTTTGAAAATAATAATTTAATTATTTTTTTTTTGCCCGACCCGATCTTGGCCCGAACAAATCTCTGACCCGACCCGGTCTCTCGGGCCTTCCGCTGGCCCGACCCGACCCGAAAAAATCGGGGACCCGCAGACCCCTAATTCAAACAGAATTGAGGACATACATGTACAGTTTTTTCACTTTTGTTACCTGTGATTGTATTTAACCAACTGTATCCTGAGTAGTTTTTCATTACTATCATCGATTGTGGTTCATTGCTACATTGTTAGCTGGTTCTTAATTTGTTTACATTAAAGTTTAAATGTACATTGAATCAGTTACTGGTATTTTGTATTGGTTACAAACACTTTAAATTTATGTTAAAGATTTTCCTTTTCACAAATATTTTCAATAAGTAGTCTTAAAGATTGCCAGCCTCTCTCTAATCGTGAACTTACTCGTCCACATTGGCCTCTGGTGTCTGTGTTGAACGTATAAAGATAAGCAAGGTGTGAGCTGGTAAGAGTATAAGGGTGAAAAGTACCCAACCCATAAATTCTAAGTAACTTTACCTGGAATCCTCGTCTTTGCTGATTCGGTTTCATAAGTCACACTACAGACTAAGCCACCAAGTTTGTTAAGTAAAAATTACTCGACATGTATTTTAAGTATGTTACTAGGAAATTGCGTTTACTTTCAGTGCAAAAAATTCTACATTAACTTGTTTTCAGCGGAGAAGAACATAGTAGTGAACGAGTGTAGGATACACAACGACGCAAGTGTAGACATGTCAAAGGATGGACGTCTGTTGGTAACACTGCTTCCATCTGGGCGGCAGAGCATGACAACACTGCTCGGTGAGTCTTTAAACTAAAACTGAAAGTTTTACTATTATAAAAACTACTTCTAAAATATCTAATAATTACGAATATGAGTTGTCTGTCCTGTCATGTTGTCGCCTTGAAAACCCCACTTGACCGAATTAGTCAAATTTACAAAAAGATAGTTTCTGTACCAAGAAATGTCATAGGTTAAGTTTCTTTTTATTAGTAAAAAAATTTTAGTTATCAAGTTATCTAAAAAATCTGAAAACCATACAATACTTAAGAATAGGGATGGACGGGTCCCGAAATTTCGGGAATTTTTCGGGAAAAAAATATTCCCGATTATCGGGACGGGATTACATTTGACTCGGGAATTTTTCGGGACGGGATTTGGTCCGATCGTCGGCGATTTTTCCGCTTCGCGAGTGCCGATAACGCCGTTATTGCGAGCGATAGGTCCGCGAACGCAGGAGACGAAGTCATACCGACGATCGCGCCGTGACCGCGGAGTCCTACCGACGATCACGCCGTGACCGCGAGTCATACCGACGATCGCGCCATAACCGCGAGTCATGACGACAATCGCGCCGTGACCGCGGAGTCATGCTGACGATCGAGCCGTGATCGCGAGTCATACCGACGATCGCGCCATGACCGCAAGTCATACCGACGATCATACCGTGACCGCGAGTCATGACGACGATCGCGCCGTGATCGCGGAGTCATGCTGACGATCGAGCCGTGATCGCGAGTCATACCGACGATCGCGCCGTGACCGCGAGTCATACCGACGATAACCCCGTAACCGCGGAGTCATACCGACGATCGCGCCATGACCGCGAGTCATACCGACGATCGCGCCGTGACCGCGAGTCATACCGACGATCGCGCCGTGACCGCGAGTCATACCGACGATCGCGTCGTGACCGCGAGTCATACCGACGATCGCGCCGTGATCGCGAGTCATGACGACGATCTCGCCGTGACCGTGAGTCATACAGACGATCACCCCGTGACCCGCGAGTCACAAGTTACTATAGGTACCTGTAAATTGTTACCCATTTTTTGGTTTTTATAGATCAGTGCCACAAATGGTAAAAATTGATTTCGTATATCTTTTTTTGGTAACTGCAATACAGTACTTTCTTTTTATGCACAGAAAAAAATCCCGTCCTGTCCCGTCCCGAAAATCGGGAAGGAAATAAAAGTCCCGTCCCGTCCCAAACTAAAAATTCAATCCCGTCCATCCCTACAGTTTAGAATGTGTCTATATTAAAGCTTGATGGAGTTCTGACGTTTCATTTAGATTATATGAATTTTTCAAGTCACAAAATGGTTTTCAAAATTGATAAAACGCCATACTTTTACAACCCAACTGTTGTAAAGAAATTGTACAGGCAAGTTAAAAGTTATTTATTTCCACGGGGATATGTGTAATAAGATAAAGACTTGTTTAATTATTCTACTTCCTGTTTCTCTTGCTTTAGTTACTTCTCTGTAGAGAGATAGTAGTAGTTATTTGAATTTTCCAGCACTCGTACAACAGTAACAATAGTTATTTGATTTATCTATCACTTATACAACAATAACAATAGTTATTTTACTTCTCCAGCACTCATACAACAGTAACAAAACTTATTTGATTTATCTATCACTTATACAACAATAACAATAGTTATTTTACTTCTCCAGCACTCAAACACCAGTAACAATAGTTATTTGACATACTTTTTTTGGTTGGCTGACCAGGATTTGCTTTTTAAATGTAATAATAGGCTATATAAACTTACCGTCTTGAAGCAATCCAGTTTTGTACTCAGTGTACAGCTGTTTCGGCTTAATCAAGCCATCTTCAGCACTTTCTTAGAGGTAAAATCATAATAAATAAGCGAACATTCTGGTTCTTGTCGACTTTTTACAACACATTACATAACACAAAAAAGATGAAACATAAAGTTTAGTAGGCCTACTTGTATGTCGCGACATAACCTCACACATGTCAAAAGTGAGGTTATGTCGCGACATACAAGTAGGCCTACTAAACTTTATGTTTCATCTTTTTTGTTATATAATGTGTTGTAAAAAGTCGACAAGAACCAGAATGTTCGCTTATTTATTATGATTTGACCTCTAAGAAAGTGCTGAAGATGGCTTGATTAAGCCGAAACAGCTGTACACTGAGTACAAAACTGGATTGCTTCAAGACGGTAAGTCTTATATATTATTACAGTTATTTGACCTCTCCATTACATTACATGTGGCACTCGTACTACATTGCTTGTTATGTTGCAGGAGTGTACAGCCTACAATGGAGCAACCTAGGCCAGCTGCTGTACAGGACCAGTTTTGAGCAGAGTATTGTCTCCGTCAGTCTGTCTCCCACCACCAGACATCTCGTAGTGGGACTGGCATCGAGGAGAGTGGCTCTAGTCAGTTCAGACAGGCATACCAACGCTCAGGTCAGTGGACCAGACATTCAATACCATGTTTAAGTTGTCAACAGTTTTATAATAAATTAAGGTAGTTGGATTAAGCTGACAGAGAGTGCTGCTGTAACTTTACTGTTATCTTTGAGATTGACAAAGCCTCAGTAATTTACGTTTGAAATTTGTATGTTATGTGAAAGGTTAAAAAGAAAACTGTACAACTCAGCAAGTCGTATGTGGGTGGGTTAAGCTTACTAGTGTCGACTATTTGCAGGTTTTCCAACTGGAAGGCGCTTTGTTGGGACAGGGAGGCCTGGGTCGTCTGCGCCACCAAAGAGACCTGGATCTGACCCGTCACCTTGGCTTTATGAGTCTAAACTGTATCCGATGGGCTCCCAGTCCAGGCCAAGGTCTGGTCTACGGCACCAACACTGGACACCTGCGGATACTACGATGATCCGACAACCCTGTATTTAAAGTACATATGTAAATACCCCCTCGTAAGTGGTGACTACTGACGATGTTTATGTTAATTCTCTACGCTAGGTGCTATTTGTTTTATTTGTTAGTTTTATATGTTTGTTATTGATTTTTGAGTGTGGAATAAAAATCTTCAAGGCCAGTTTTACCGAGAGATCAAGCGTTTGATGTTTTCGTGCACAGTTTGAGATTGTACAATTTTACAATTGTATCTTCAAAAATCCCGAAACTATGTTCGATTTAGCATTTGAAAAATACATACTTCTGAGGGGCCATACATTTTGTATGCTGTGTCAATATAGGGAATGCGTAAACTTTTGAGAAAAATCCAGTAATCTGATATTAATAAAACATGTGTAAGAAAAATTTGCTATATCAAGTTCAGCACAATACCAAAAGCACTCTTGGATTTTATAAATTTCAGATTTGTTTTTTATCCTGCCTGTTCAAACTAGTGTTGTTCCCTCAAAATTAATATGTATGTGGTTTTTGTTTTACATTATTAACTAAGTAATTATATTGCTGATATAACACAGTGCTTAATATAATCTATGTTATTGTAATGAAACTGGAAACATTTTTGTGTTTACTGTATGTACAGTACAGTATGAATCACAAAGTGAATGGACTGATATTTTATGTGATATGCACTTATGTGTAATCCGTTAATATAATTGCAACTATCTATGGACCTGAATCAAAGTGCAGCTCTAAGAGACAATATGTTTATCCTGTGTTACTTGAACAATATTTTGTCATAAAGCCACCAGAATGTTACAAAATATTACAAAATTAATTTGTATATATCGAGAAAAAGAATTGTATCATTCATCGGAATCAGTGGTTGCTAAAAGTATTTATTTATTATAAAATTTACAAAACTGTTGAATGGTTCTCCTTTTTCGAATCTTAGTGTTAAGTATTTTTATCTGTGTGCCTCCTTATTCCTATTTATATTTTATTATATAAAGTCCAACATGTTTCAATAACTGGTATATAGAATTGTTTTCCCTCACTTATTTTTGTTTATTTCTTATGTTTAAAATATATTTTCATTTTACGTTTTTATGGTAGAACCTTGCATCACCAATAACCTAAAAGCTTGTTTCGAACACAAGAATTCTCTTACAAAGGATCCAATTAGAAAATGCTCAAACTAACAACAACAAAAAATTAACAAGCAAAGTATGGCTTTGGATAAGGATTTAGAAATTTCAACAAACAATTTAGGTTGTGTGTGATACAATCAAAGTCCATATAAGTATTTACCAGTCACATAACACTTAAATTTCTACTATTACAACGTAATTATAACCATACAAGTCTACAAAAATATGTAACAAATAAATTAACATAAATATAATTTCAATCGGTTAAGAACTAAGCCGACAATGACGGAGATCCTAAAGCCTTGCATTAGCGCATGGCGGACAGGTAGGTTCTACGTAATTAGATTTTTGTAGGTAGTTCTAACTGCAGTAAACTCGTTTTTAGGCCAGAATTAAACTATTTCCAACATTTGAAGAAAATCGTCAGAGCCGTTTTCGAGATCTTTCTGCAAGCATACATACATACATACATACATACATACATACATACATACATACATACATACAAGCAAACATTGCTCGTATTAGAGTATAGGATTCCTTACATAAAACTACCAGCTTAGCCATCACTTGTTGCGACAAATTTAAAGATAATACTTAAAATCCATCTTGAATCTAAATGACCTTAGTATAAATTAAACAGTTTATTAGTTAAATGTATTTCACATATACAGTACTTAAATTTAATGCAATACAATATTATTGTTGTTTTTTGTCTACTGTCTATGCAAACACATCAGATGAGGTTTTAATGGGACCAGGAATGTCTTTGAAATATTCAAGCAATAATGGAAAAGTGGCGTAGTATTTATTTAAACCATATTTTGTTATCAAAACAAAGTAATTAATTTACTTTTGTAATCAATTAACTTATAGTTTCTGTTTCAAGGAATTTCCCTTGTAGTAAGAAAGATATTGAGAATGAGAACTATATTACAGAGTAATTATTTGTCAGAATAGGTCATTGAAAACACCCTTAGTATCTAAACAAACAAGAAAATGTCGGAAACCAAATTATCCACTCAAACAGATCAAACTATATCCTTATTGCTTTACAAAACCTAAATGTGTTTTCAACATAAAAGAAGCAAATTAACACCTTGTTCAAACAAACACTGATACATACAGGGTGAGTTTTAATTGTCCCCCCCCCTAACTTTTTTCTACATTTTTTCAAATATCAATCCCAGACCACTTTCAAACATTGTTGGGTAGTAAGTACTTCATTTTGACAAGGTGGTCATTTCCGGCCGCCATATTGGATCCGCCATATTGGATGCAAAATTTTTTTTCAAATGTAAAGGTGGGGTTGTGACCCGTTATTTCGAACTAAATCTTTACCCTGATTACAATGCCGCAAACAGTTTTTAAAAATCTTGATTCATTCTAAAGTTATGAGGGCTTTTTAAAACTTGATTTTTAGCCCATTTTAACATTATGCATTTATAAACTAAGACCATAATCTCAAAATAGTGCTAGATAAAGATAAGTATACACTAACAGTAATTGTCGACCCATTTTCACTTGGTTATGACTGATGTATTTTTTTCGGCCGCCATCTTGGATCTGCCATTTTGAAATGTGATAAATTATTTTAAATATGAAGGGGGTGTTGTGACCCATCACTTTGAACTACTTTTTTAAGCTTAACTCAATGCCGCAATCCATTTTTTGTTATCAAGTTTTATTTATGAAATATTGAAATTTTTTTGTTAAAAATGTCAATATTTCAAAATCAAAAAATGAATATGAAAAACGGATCATGGAATTAAGTTCAGCTTAAAAAAGTAGTTCGAAATGATGGGTCACAACACCCCCTTCATATTTAAAATAATTTATCACATTTCAAAATGGCGGATCCAAGATGGCGGCCGAAAAAAATACATCAGTCATAACCAAGTGAAAATAGGTCGACAATTACTGGTAGTGTATACTTATCTTTATCTAGCACTATTTTGAGATTATGGTCTTAGTTTATAAATGCATAATGTTAAAATGGGCTAAAAATCAAGTTTTAAAAAGCCCTCATAACTTTAGAATGAATCAATATTTTTAAAAACGGTTTGCGGCATTGTAATCAGGGTAAAAATTTAGTTCGAAATAACGGGTCACAACCCCACCTTTACATTTGAAAAAAAAATTTTGCATCCAATATGGCGGATCCAAGATGGCGGCCGGAAATGACCACCTTGTCAAAATGAAGTACTTACTACCCAACAATGTTTGGAAGTGGTCTGGGATTGATATTTGAAAAAATGTAGAAAAAAGTTAGGGGGGGGGACAATTAAAACTCACCCTGTATAAAACATTAAGTTGGCTTATTTAAAGTGAAATTAGCAAGGTTCTACTGTGCATTAGAGTTTTATGAATACATTGATTGATCTTGAATCATGACAAATTGTCTGAATTAAGCTTTAAAATAGCTTTTAGCAGTAACTAAAACTTGTAATTTCTTACAAATTATATTCCTTAAATAATCATGCTAGTTAAGATAGTCAAATGGTTACATTTTCGCCTTTGCCTTATACCTTCTGTTTAAATGGCTACCGGTATTGTACATTGATAACTCTAATCAATATCAATACAATTGTTAGAATTTTTTCTATTGTCAACAAGCATATACTTATTTGTTTCTATTTTTTAACAGGAAAATATTGGGAAGTATTAAACAATTTAGTGTTAATCTTTCTCAGTGTTAAAACAAGTTTAGTTTTTAGTACTCGTCTCCGACTTTTGTTGTTAGTGTTACACCTGAAATTATAGAAACTTCTAAACTAGTTCATCGTAAACAAACTTCCCTTGAGTCATGGTTCATATTAATTAAGTCTTAATTTTTGTTTGAATTTTATACTTCATTAGCCTAAAGTAAGTTTTATAAAGTGTATGTAACATCCATTGTTTCTTCTCTACAATAGTTTGTTTTTTATTTATGAATTTCCACTAAAAAGGTAGAAATTGTAGAACATATTGTGGACCAATAAAAAGATCTTCAGTTGTTGGGCAATTTTCAATTACATTGTGCTGGTACACCAGTTCAATTCATGTTTTTACTTGATATTAAATGCATGAGGGCATCAAAACCAGAAGATGAAACGGTTTTCTGTATTCCACTTCTGTCAAATCAGTCAGTGTATTTGTATGAAATTGGTAAAATTCTTTTATCGTTGTAAATTGTAAACTTTTAGGTGATAAAACTTTCCCAATCATGACTGTTTCTCATTTTTCATTGGTAAACGATTTGTTTCATTGTGTGTAAGTTTTATTTTGTTGATCTGTGAGATGTCTAACCTCAACCTGTAAACATTTAGTAAATGCTATTAGTTTCAGCATTTTAGTAAATAATTAATTATGTAGAAAAGTGTTTAGATAAATTTCTATAATCACAGAAGTCTGGGGCTTCATGTGCTGAAAGCCTGATCAGTTCAAGGATTCTAGATCAATATTAAAGTTATCTCCTTTGTATCTTAATTTTTAGTAAATGTGCCATTGTAACAATTTTTAGGTTAATTATGATAATGTCCTAATGTCTTGCTTTGGATTTTGGCGTTATATGTTAGACACATTTGTCAATTGGGACTAGATCACGGCAATTCATTATCACAGCAATACCCAAACCCTTTTAAATGCAGTAATTTTTACAACTTCCATTCCATGGCACAAAATTTTAGTGTTTTACAATTTTATTTTGGTTTGTACAAACTCATGATTCCAATAAAGTCCTCTTAATTGGAATAAAATATAAGTAACTGCACAAAAGCTCATTAGGTTTTTTTCCTAACCTCTTATTGTTGTTAGAAATAACTGATTTACCGAAACACAGTTGTAGCACCAACGAGGTGTTTAACCAGCTTACCATAGAGTAAGTTGTTGTGAAATAAAACATATATACAGTAGATATATACAAAATTACAATAAAATTTGCAATGAGCTTTCCCCAATACAAGACTGCAATCTTGTATAAACAGTCAATTTTTCACTAAAATGTGTTATTTCTAGTCTAAATGTAAATCACATTAGAATTTTCTCACTGTGTACACATTGAAATGTTATTCTAAGTGCTTACAATTTTATTAGGTCATTTTTATCATCCTTTTCAACCCTATAGGTAAATCGCGATATTATGGTTTTATTTTATTGGAATAGAATGTAACATCAGATAGCTTAAAACTAGACATTCCATCCTGCTATAATTTTCACCAGTTTTTTAATCAAAATGGACATAGTTAAGTTGAGCCACTGACAGATAGTGATATTATAAGGTTTAAATCTGTTATGCTGTATAAACTGTATCAGTAACAAAAAATAATGCAGAGAATGGAATTTTAGACTGCAGCATAAGTAAGTGGATCATTTAACTATATGCTCTTAAATAAATAGGCTGGTCCATTTTGAAGGGATGTCTATTTCCGTATCCGACAGCCAATGATAGCGAGCTATCAATGTGAAAAAATGAAGTATGTACCACAGATAAAAGATAGTAACAGAAAACTGTCGTGGGAATTTTGAAAAAGGTGGCAGGCTGTTTGAATACGCACGTTTTAGGAACAAAATCACATTGCTTTTTAACATCAAAGAAATAAAGACTGTTACCAATAATTTATGAAAAGAAGACTAACTTAAAATCCTTCATGTTAAATTGTGTATAAATGTATTCTCTTTTCAATACAAATAATATTTCCTGCATTGCTAGTACTTTCCAGAAATCTTATATTGTAATGCAAATTTTAGTATAGTATGATTATATTTTGTTTGTATTATTTAAGTACTGTATTTCAA